CCTTGATCCAATCCTATGCAGTACATCATGCAACTATCTGGAAAATATACACCACTATTACTGATACAATGTGTGCATGGCAATATTTGATGCCAGAAACACATTAATGATGGGAACGGGTCTGGAAAGCTTGGCAGTATTGGTTTATTTGAGAAAATGCTTTGAATAGCTGTAGATGGCACATCACCTATCTAAGGACAAAGTATACAGGTTGCTCCAAAAGCATGGAAGACAGTATTTGGGCATCAGCAATTAAGTAAAAGAAACAGGAAGTTTTGTCCAGAACCAGTCACAGATAAACCCCTCGCAGGAGGCTGCTCCTGGGGGGGTAAGAGCAATCCAGGGATACACAAACAGGAGATTAACGAGCAAATGCAGGGAAATGGAGTTATTTCTGTACCCAGTATCCAAGATACCATTACTAAATGCTGTGAATGGGTCTGGTGACCATATTTCAAGGACAGCCTTGAAAAATTAAGAAGGATTCAGACAAGCCTCTAAAGCTATCTTAGCTGTAGAAAGCTTGCCTTATAGTAAGCGGCTTTCAAAGCTCGGTCTCTGCAGTTTCCCTGGGAGATGAGGGGGGTAACTCAGCCAAGGTCTGCAATTACCTCCAGGAGGACTCAGCGCTGATAGCGCAGGGCTCCGCGCCTCGCCGAAGCCGATACGCTGCGGAAGCAGCAAATGAGGCGAGTACTGCAAGGCAGAGGCGAGCAGGCACCGGAAGCACAATCCCAGGATGCGAAAAACTTTGCTGCACGTCGCAGGAACCTGGGTGCTTTGCTGCGAAAAGACTGGAGCACGCTGGCTCCCTCACCCAGGAAGGCTCCTGTGGCTGGAGGGGGTTGGGTGCCGCAGCACCACGCTTCTCTCCCACCCTCCTGGTGCCCCCGCAGCTGCTCACCCCAACAAGCCCGAGTCCCTGCTTCAACTAAGATGAAGAAATTAAGTGTGTATAACAACTCTATCATCATCATCATTGTTATTATTGAAACTTTTTCTGCATAAGCGTATTCTTTTTCTGTCTGTATTAATTACATCTAGACCAATAATGATTCTTGAATGAGACGTAACACTTCATCTGTTCCTTGGCTTTCTATATATAAAGGGGTCTTTCCTCTTTGCCTGTAAACATGATTCTGAGCGTAACACCATGGCTTTGTAAGCACTGAGGTGGATCAATAGGTACTTTCTTTAAAAAAAAAAAAAAAAAGGCAAGATAGCTTGTTCTTCCAACAAATACATCGGGGGCAACTCCTGCAAGCACCAGGCTGGTCAGAGGAGGGCAATGGTACTGTGGCAGAACCATACACAACGGCACTATCCTCCACCCAAATACCGTTAGTCAAGGTCATATCCAAGCCAGAACCCATGAATCAGATCTCTGCTGCCATCAGCAAACACTCATGGAGCCCACTGGTTTGCACAGACTGAGGATCTGACCCATTTTCCACAAAGAGAGGATGATTTATGTTGGGTCTGGTTTTTATTTCCTTAGAAAGGGGAAGTATGGATGTTTTTAACCAACCTCTTCCCCAGAAAGAGGATGAATGCATGCAACGAATCACATGTGGGGCAGTGGCCTTCAGCTGGGACCCACTGCGCAAAATCACCAAATACTAGCTGCATGACAAGTAGAGTCCAAAAAAATTGCAGAATCTTCCCAATTCTGTAGTGAAAAAAGCCCTACCGGATCACTAAAATTTCTTTAGAGAAATCAAAAGGTCAAAATGTAGAAGCAAACCAATTTGACAAGGCCTCCCCAATCGCCAGGACTTTCACACCCACAGCAGCCTCTCCACCACACAGCCGGCAGAGCGTGCAGACCCTAACAGAGGCCTGGCTGAAAGCAAAAATACCTCTTCCCTTCCTCAGCAAGTCCCCTTGGTGGAGCACAGAAGGACTCGTCAAGCCACAATGTCTAATTATGCACAAATGAACTACCTTCTCCGCTAGCACGTCTGTTGGGCTTTCCAAACTCACACTAGTACTTAAATCAGAACCAATGCATTCATCAGCTGGTGGGACTCTACCAGCAGTCTAATAAAAAGGAAGAAGAAAAATGAGACAAACCTCCAGAGTAATGAGACAAGGTTGCAAAGGGGAATGACAAAACAGCAGTCTTGAATTCAAGTTTGGAATTTGATAGAAAGATTTGAATAACAAGAAATAAAGGCCGGCACTTCGAAAGAATGTACTGTTACTCTCAATGGAGGCTTGTGCCATGAGATTTTTTTCCAGGCAAAACTACTGGTTATGATGAATGACCTAAAACATTCAGTGTTCACATAAAAATCCGTGTGTATCCATAAAATAAGAGACAAGGCTGAAAATAGATTAGGTTTAAAACAATTTGAGGGAGAGCAGAACTCATTTTCAATAAAGTTCCCCCATATCCTGCCCTCTCAAATCACAGTAAAGAACATATCTACCATCTCAAATTCCATTAGCTTCTGGTTCTTGTCAGAAATTCAGAAATCTTTCTTTGATAAACTACATTCCTTTCTATCACATTATTTCTTTATCAAAAATTACAAGTAAGAATTCCTGTAAATTGAAGCCCACACTAGTAACTTGGAATTTTTATATATATATTTTATATGTGTACATATATGTGTGTGTGTGTAAACATAAAGATATATATATACACATATATACACATATATATACATATATACATACATATATATGTAGTGTATGTGGGTATAAATGGGATCATGATGTGCCATTGCTAGAACAGGGCTATGATTTCCATAGCTCTTAAAGAGGCAATTGTGATCTCTGATTCATCTGTTTTCAGGAGCTTTGCTTGTCACCCAAAGCTCTATACCTCCTTCATTTTTCTGGTTAAAATAGCTTTTTAGAGTTTGTCTACACCATAAATCATTCTGAAACAGTTATTCTTGTGTGGATGCTCTCACTCTGGAATAAAATGCTTTATCATTTTGATTTAGTTTAATCGCTATGCTGGGCTGTTACAATAATTACCTAACAAAGGTGCTTAAAACTCACATCCGAACTGAACTGGCTTCTGCATGCAGAGAAAGAGTTTTGTTGTAGATGGCTGGATAACGACTTTATAGGTAGGTTCCTGCCATTGGCACCATCCAGAGCTTGACAGAGGCTAACCTGGAGACACGGCTTCCTTTGGGTGTCTGAAATGAAGGATGATGAAATGGAGGGGCTGAATTTTGCAGTTAAAGCCCACATGATGCATTTCTAGCATAGATTACAGATTTCCAGATTCATATTAGCCAGCTTGGTCCTGCACATGCCAAAGAGCAGGACTTTGTGAGGAAATGTACTTTGAGCAGATACCATGATGCTGAAAGCCCTTGTGCCACTGAACATCTGATAGCACCTCTTGGGAACGAGATGGGAAAAAGTTTCAAACTGGAGAAATATTCCTCAAAGAAGTGACAGCTACAGTGCTAAGGAGGATAGAATTGGTGTGCTAGAAAAAAGAACAAAAACAAAAAATGCACTAGCCCTAGGTTGCAGTCAATGTTAACAATAACAGCCCTAATGCTTATGCACACATCTCAAAACACTAAATACTTCCTTCATCCCAAGTGAGGAAACCAAGGAGCAAACAGACCAACAAGCCTAACTCAAGCCTATGCTCTGCATGAGAGTCCAAATATCCTAACGGTGGTGTCGGGGCCAGCCCAAATGCTCCATGTACAAGAATGCTCATAAGTCAGGGCTACGCTGTGCTCATGCTGCCTACAAAGCTAATTTCTGATTTGATTTTTTCTACTAGGCAAATTTCCCACCACATAAAATATAAAGCCATGCGCACAGCATGTGGAATTAGAAAAAAACCTTCTGAACTTTCTGCCATCTTCCCAGCTGGGGAGTAGTGATTTCAGGAACCAGGCATTTGCTGCACTGATTTCATTAAGTGCTTTAACCAATGATTTTGCTGGGCCAATTTTAAATACATTAGACCACACTGCCCCTTCTGTTTCCTTATGAACTTTAAGTCTTATTCCAGATTTGGTATCCTCTCTGCCTCATAGCACGCCCTTCTTCCAGAATCAGAATCGCAATGGTTGAGCAGAGTCGCCTAGAGCACATTGCACCTCTGCATGGACGTGGTCTTCCTAATAGTTTTGCTTTGTGGAAATTACTAAGAATGCTAAAAAATACAACACAAAATCTTTAATGCACTATGTATTGCCAACAGAGCCTTACTACAACGAAGGGGGTGATGAGGGTGGATGCTATCAGACAGCTGGCTCTGTTGAAACATTCAAGCCAAAGAAAATGAGTGGCACGTTGGCGCTTCATGTATGTTACAATATTGA